CAACTTTTTTTTTTTAGAAAAAAAATAAATATTTTCGTTTTTCCGTTGTAGCAGAGATTGATGCAGAATTTATGCAAGGATCAACTTATAAAATTTGGGTTATGAATTATGTCACGTGAAATTGTAATACATCAATCCAAATGCCGAATATGTCACTAGCAGTTTAGTAATCTTGGATGCAACGATATAATAATGTACGTGAGATAAAAAGGTAATCGCAAAATATATTCACAGAAAAGGGTAAAAGGTTTTCCTTAGAAAACAGCAATCTAAACATGCCCTTAATTTCCTGCGCAAGTCTAAGATGTCTTCAACGCTATTGCTTTGAATCCATTAATTTCAAGCCTTTATACTTAAGTTGATTAATCTTGAAGACTCGAGCTAGATCTCACATCACTCAATCGATCATTTGCAAAGCAAGGAATTTGGGAGTTGGCCAAATTGACATGAGAAAGGAAAAAAGTGTACCCAAATTTACGCGATCATTGCTCTGCATTAGCTTTACAAGATGGTATTAGTAGGTTTGGATAGGACGAGTTAGCTTGGCCGAGCAATTATGAAGTTTACCCTCTTTGCATGTACGGACTAAGGAGGTTGTGATGATTGATGAGTTAGCAGTGAGTGCTTTCTATTTTTGTGGTAGGTCAGGGATTCAATCCTTGCCACCTACTTTGCTATTTAATTGTGATTGTCATTTAATTATGACTTCCTCCAATGGAAAAATTCTTTGAGTGAGAGGTCAAGAGTTCAATCCTTAGAAAACAGCAATCTAAACATGCCCTTAATTTCCTGCGCAAGTCTAAGATGTCTTCAACGCTATTGCTTTGAATCCATTAATTTCAAGCCTTTATACTTAAGTTGATTAATCTTGAAGACTCGAGCTAGATCTCACATCACTCAATCGATCATTTGCAAAGCAAGGAATTTGGGAGTTGGCCAAATTGACATGAGAAAGGAAAAAAGTGTACCCAAATTTACGCGATCATTGCTCTGCATTAGCTTTACAAGATGGTATTAGTAGGTTTGGATAGGACGAGTTAGCTTGGCCGAGCAATTATGAAGTTTACCCTCTTTGCATGTACGGACTAAGGAGGTTGTGATGATTGATGAGTTAGCAGTGAGTGCTTTCTATTTTTGTGGTAGGTCAGGGATTCAATCCTTGCCACCTACTTTGCTATTTAATTGTGATTGTCATTTAATTATGACTTCCTCCAATGGAAAAATTCTTTGAGTGAGAGGTCAAGAGTTCAATCCTTACCACCCACTTTGCTACTTAATTGTGATTGCCATTTAATTGTGACTTCCTCCGACGGGAAAATTCCTCAGTTGAGTAGGAGGTCAAGGGTTCAATCCTTGCCGCCCAGTTTGCTACTTAAATGTGGTTGCCATTTAATTGTGACTTTTTCTTTTCCGTCGGCTCCCTCTTTTCTTAGAATAGGCTAGATTAAGCTATACAACTATTATCGTTACAAAAAAAAAAAAAAGAAGAGCAGTGAGTGCCTATTTTGGGGTAGTTAGGGAAAAGGGAGACACAACAACACAGACGTTGTACTTATTATTAAGCCAGCGTAGTACAGAGTACAACTACAGCCAGAAAACGATCGCAATCTTTTCTCAACCGCAAGGTAAACGCGTTGTTGTGGTTAAGCTATGATTTCCTATTATATTCATCTCTTGTTAATTATTACTAGCACTAGTAACTTTGAAAGTGCATTAATTAATTGGGAAAATGCAAACCTGAGAGGTGTCTTGGGCAGATGAAGTACGACCCCATCTCTCTGGATCCCATAAAACTGAGCTGTTGAATGCAAAGCCTGAGACGTGCATTGCGGGTTTCATCGTATCTGTTGACAGATTGCTCGAGTTCTTCAGATGCCAGCCCATGACTTCTGATGATTCGCATACAGGTCCTTCTATATTAACCTTCTTTCTATTTGCTGATAAGAACGCCATAGGCCACGTCCCAAATGCCCTGCACCATGTAAATGCACCAAACCTGAATTCCTTGGTGCAAGATAAATTCGAAATTAATGTCGAAGAAAGTCAAAAACCAAATAAGAACTTACTCAATGGCTCTGATCTCGTCGAAGAAACTGAGATCATACACGTTGGAGAGCCCTGCAAAATGAACTATGCCACTTAGTCTGTGGTGCTCGATATGACTGAGTGCAACATTTATTTGATGATCCATTTCGGCTCGCATATCAGTAAAGTTCTCCTTGAAAACCAAATGCCTGTACATGATGCCCGTCTTTCTGAGAATCTCCGACGCTTCATCGGAGTCAGACTGCTGCTCCACAACCACCCATAGCAGCGGCTGAGGAACCAATCTTAACGTGTTTGCAAGCCTCCTGAGCAGCACCCCTCGGCGCGTATCTTTCATGCTCGTTGGAGTTACGATAATCACGAGCTTTCTTGGGATTAAGTCTCCTTCATTTTCTTCCTCCTTCGATATTTTTGGAGGATGATGGTCATCATACGCGTCGCGATCAGATTTCGACGTTGCCTCTGGCACTGCAGCAGGACTTCCATCCAACAGACTTCTATTATAACTTTGGAATTTTGATTGATATTGAAGCACTTCCAAGGGTTGTGGAGAAAAATCTGATCTGTTCGAGACTGAAACGCGACTAGAAAATATTGAAGACTTGCCCGTTGGAGCAAAGCCGGTGAAGAATCCCATTACAAAACATAACATAAAATGGACAATTGCTTTCTTCCACAACTGGACCTTCTTCCTTGATCTTTCGACCGACCCCATGACTCTCCGATATTTTCTGAACTGATGTTGAGTCCTGTTTCAGCATTGGAAATGTGGCTGGGAATTATGGATATATATATGGTCGGATGTCGGCCAAGAATGTGAGTAGTTTCTGAAAATGGCGGGAGCCAACTAACACTTATGCATGATTGATATTTGGTGAGTATCATCTCTGCAGTTGTTTTCATTGGGTTGTGAGTTAAGACGTAGTCATCACTTGAAGCAAAAGAAAAACGACTGAATATAGAATGTTCCGAAGCAGAAGTTGGGGGTACCGTCTCTCAACTCTCTGCACCAAATAGTGGTTGAAATGCAAAATCATCACCTAAGTTGTTAACACTTAACAAGGACATTATACAAGAAAAACAATGGACATTAGTGAGGAACTGTTCCCACAAATTGGAATCTTTTCAAGTACTTAATCCTGTGCCATGTGATTAAAACAGATAGTAATAATTTACTAAGCAACTTACAGACCATAATTTTGCTTTGAAGATGGAATGCAATTCAAGGATTAGGAATTAGCCTTTATCTCTTGAAACTAATAATTATGCACCCTAGCTCATTTCTCTCTCTCTCTCTCTCTCTTAATGTGCGAATTAACAATTTGGGATGTGACATGAATTGAACATGGCATTGTGCAACATTTTTTTTTTTTTAAAATGGATTTCATTTTTTGGATTAATTACGCTTTGCCCCCCTAAATTTGGGCTCTTATAACACTTTGTCCCCTGAACTCCAAATATATACATTTTACACCTTGTAGTCAAAATTTTGACGAGTTTAAGATAAAGTTATATTTTTTACGACCAAAATATCTCTGACTAATTCTTAAACGCATGTAATAATTGTAACATAAGAATTGAACATGGCATTGTGCAATACTTTTTTTTTTGCAATGGATTTCTTTTTTTTTTTTTTGTCCAGTAATTATTTGGTTGCTCCGATATATTCTACAGATTGGATAGAAAAGTACAGAAAAAAAAATGTTGAAGGGATTTATAAATAGTGATGGCATCACTGTGCTCGTCTGCACATATTCATGGTGATGTATATATAAAAATATTTAATCTCTAAATTCATCGATCCCCTTGTGTTAGTATAAATAAGAGAAAAGTAAACATCAAATGGTCCTCCAGTTTCAATACAAGAAATAAAGGGTCAAAATGACAAAATAAAGTTTGAGAAAGGCTTGATTGACACAATTATGCAAAATAGACAAGCCAAATTCCAATTAATTCCAAAACAGCGGACAAAGGGGAAATAAGAGAATCACACAACGGTAAACGCCTTGCTTAACATTGTTGGCAAAAGAAAATTGATCAGTGGCGAGGTGTAAAAACAGAGTGAGTGGGTTAGTTCCTTTGTTCCCCGTCCCGAGTCCCACATCGTTTGTGAGTGGTGTGTGTGAGTTGTAGTTAAGTTCCATGGGGGGTGCCAAAAGTCAGCTAGCCTTTTGGTATTCTTTCGTGGAGTGAATTTAGTTGCTTATTGCTTAACATTGTTGACAAAAGAAAATTGACCAGTGACGAGGTGTAAAAACAGAGTGAGTGGATTAGTTCCCTTGTTCCCCGTCCCGAGCCCCACATCGTTTGTGAGTGGTGTGTGTGAGTTGTAGTTAAGTTCCATGGGGGATGCCAAAAGTCAGCTAGCCTTTTGGTATTCTCTAGTGGGGTGAATTTAGTTGCTTCTTGTTTAACATTGTTGGTAAAAAAAAAAAAAAACACAACGGTAAGTGAAGAAGCACGGAACTTCCCCGGACCGAACTGAGCTAATGAGCTCGGCTTGCTGATGGAAAGAGCGCGTCCTAAGCCTGAAAGACAAACAAGAGAGTGAACTAACAGGGGTCCTGAGGTCGTCCCCGAGGGCACTCCGACGGTCAAGTTAGTTTTCCGGTGAGTGAGGTTCACGGGAAGTAGAACGGTCGGGAGTAATTGTCCAATAGTGAGCGTACCTTGCGCAGCCGGTGTGCGTTATTATTTATACCTGCTTAGGAGCCCGACCTCCGTACATTTCGGGACCTGTCCAGAATAGCCTCAATCCCGCACTGAGGGGGAACAATCCCGCGAACAATCCCGACCTAGGCGGGATTGCTCTCTGGAGCCCCTTGGAGCCCTAACGGCGGGGGGCCGCGGGACGGTTCCCGTGGGCCTGGGGGTCTAGGCCCAGCTCAGACCCTCTTGGGCTGCCACGTGTATAGGTCCAGGACGGGGCCTCTGCAGTAAGCACCTCGACTGGGTAGCGAAGTCGCAACGGGAGCCCTCTGCTGCTGTAGTGCACCAAAAAAGACTGCCCGAAACTACGTCTGCCCGGAACCAGCCAATCATTACCACAAAACCGACCCGATCCAATTCAGTTAATTTCGTCGCGACTCACGTGGGGTGCTCGATTGACTCTTCTCCTGAATGCTAAAGTGCATCCGTCTCTATGTATATTGCAGAATTCTTTTTCTCCATTTTTTTGGTGGGTTGGCAGGCAGGGAACTTTTGCTTTGTGCACGTGATGCTCGATAAATTGCCCAGTAGAACTATTTGAGATCAATCCACATTATAACAGGATCATTCGGCCGTTGTTTATTGACTTCGCCGAACCCGATTCATCATTCTCTACCATTTGCTTGTTCAGTTACTCCTTTCAAGCTGAGTAGAAGTCACGCTTGAGCTTGGAATGTTTTGCTTTTCCTCTTAAGGTGGACTGACGGCACTCAGGATCGATGCATACCTATTGTGTCCCTCAAGTTGCTTATGCTTCGGTGCTTTATGCTTACGCCACCTGCTTTCTCTCTGTTAGACAATTCAGCCCATGCTTTGTGGTGAAATGCCTCCAAAAGCCATAAGAGTGTCCACGATGGTGCTTGTAGCTTTCCAATCTTCATTCCCCTGAACTCGTATCACGATGATACAAAGGTTGAAACCCAGACTAGCTTTTACCTGTACTAATGCCAAACTGGGCACTCTAGCAACTCCAACTCCTAATTTCCAGAATGAACAGTCTAGTAATGATTACATAAGCTCCATCTGCAAGCAAAAATTATTTAAAGAAGCTCTCAAGGCATTTGACTTCATAGAAAAGAATACCTCCTATAATGTTTATCCTAGTACCTATACTCATTTGATCTCCTCCTGTGCATCTTTAAGATTTCTAGAACGTGGGAGGAAAATCCATAAGCATATTTTGATGTCCAACTTTCAGGCTGACATGATCCTTCAGAATCATATTCTTAACATGTATGGAAAATGCGGTTCAGTGACAGATGCTCGAAAGGTCTTTGATGAGATGGCAGAGAGGAATGTGGTTTCTTGGACTTCAGTTATTGCTAGCTACTCTCAAAATGATCAAGAAATTGAAGCAATAAACCTTTACTCTCAAATGCTACAGGCAGACCTTTTGCCTGATCAATATACATTTGGAAGCATAATAAAAGCTTGCTCAAGTTTGAGTGAGGTTATGTTAGGGAGGCAGTTGCATGCTCATGTCATCAAGTCAGAGCACGGTTCTCATCTTATAGCTCAAAATGCCCTGATTACAATGTACACAAAGTTCGGTCTAATTATCGATGCACAGGATGTATTTTTGCGGATTAACTTAAAGGATTTAATTTCTTGGAGTTCAATGATTGCTGGGTTTTCACAACTTGGCTACGAATTAGAAGCTCTATACTGTTTCAAGGAGATGCTTCGGCAAAGTAATTGCGAGCCAAATGAATTTGTTTTTGGCAGTGTTTTTACTGCCTGTGGAAGGCTTATCCAGCCAGAATACGGGAGACAGATACATGGGGTGAGTATAAAGTTTGGGTTTGAGAGAAATGAATATTCTGGTTGCGCTGTTACTGATATGTATGGAAAATGTGGTTTACTTGGTGCTTCAGAAACTGCTTTTTTCCAGATAGAAGACCCTGATGTAGTGTCATGGAATGCCATTATTTCTGGGTTTGCTTATGGTGGTGAATCAAACAAAGCATTGTCAACATTCTCCCAAATGAGGAACTTAAACTTGAAGCCCGATGATGTTACTATTCGATCTTTGCTGTGCGCCTTCACAAGTCCATCATATGTGCTTCAGGCAAAGCAAATACACTCCTACATTATCAAAACAGGTTTTGATCTAGATGTCCCAGTGTGTAATACATTGCTGTCAATTTATGCCAGTTGTTCAGATGTAGCTGAGGCATTTAAAATCTTCTACGAGATTCAATGCAAAGCAGATCTGGTTTCTTGGAACGCTATTATTTCTGTATGCATGCAAAACGATCGGGCTGAAAAGGCTTTCTCTTTATTAAACCTGATGCTACTGTCTCCAAACAAGCCCGATCATATTACTGTTGTAAATGTGCTAGTCTGTTGTGGGAAAGTCACTTCTTTAGAAATGGGAGATCAAACTCATTGTTATGCATGTAAAACTGCTCTCAAGCAGGACTTGGCCATCATGAATGGACTGGTTGACATGTATGTTAAGTGTGGATCTCTTGAAAATGCTCAGAAGCTCTTTGACTGCATTGAAAACCCTGATGTCGTTTTGTGGAGTTCTCTCATTGTTGGCTATGCACAGTTTGGGTATGGTGAAGCAGCCTTGAAACTGTTTACAAGAATGAGAAATTCAGGCGTAAAGCCAAATGAAGTGACCTTTGTTGGAGTTCTGACAGCTTGTAGTCATGTTGGTCTGGTCGAGGAAGGATTGCACTTGTTCAATACTATGGAAATGCAACATAGGATAGCACCTACAAGAGAGCATTGCTCGTGTGTTGTTGACTTACTTGCTCGAGCTGGTTGCATCAATGAAGCAGAAGCTTTCATTAATCAAATGGCTTTTGATCCAGATATTGTGGTGTGGAAAACTCTTTTAGCTGCCTGTAGGACCCACAAAAATATTGAAATTGGGAAAAGGGCTGCAGAGAATATTCTGAAAATCGATCCTTACAATTCTACTGCTCATGTGCTACTTTCCAGTATATATGCTTCTACTGGCTATTGGAAAGATTTTGCTGCATTGAGGAACTTGATGAAACAAAAGGGTGTCAGAAAAGTTCCAGGCCAGAGTTGGATAGAAGTTAAAGATAAAATCCATGTATTTTCTGCAGAAGATGGTTTGCATCCAGAAAGAGGCAAAATATATATTATGCTAGAGGAAATGTTCTTGCAGATGCTGGATGCTGGCTATGTCCCTATCCAGAGATGAGCAGTTGGCCATGAAAACTGAAAATACTGAACACTCAAGTCAGAGGTTGAATGAAAATTCTCGTGGTATGTCTTATTGAATTTTCTTTTCAGATTGTGGCTTCTAGCAGTAAAGCATATATCATATTATCTGTAACAAGTGTATTCAACTGCTGCTAAGTGAAAACATATAATGTGATGCACTTGAAGCCCTTACATAATACCTATAAGCCATATGATGCTGCTATACTTTCATAATTGTGTGGGCTTCCTTCATGATTGCAGGTCTTGATCCTTCTTCTTGGCGCATTATTATAAAACCTCGAGTGTTCATATACTTTTGACAAATCTAAATCCACAGTTCTCTGGATAAATATTTACTCGTATAGACCAAGCCTGCTATTCACTAGTAACTTAATTTGTGCCAGCAGACTTAATGTTCATTCTTGTTGAGTGTACGTCATTACTTCATGTACAAGTTGACAGATGCTGATTATTTTATTTCATTCTTGATCATCATGGTGTTTTTCAGCTTTCACCCATCAAGGGAAAGGTTGATTATAAACATCTTGCTTTTCTGAGAAATACAAGTTTCATTTAAATCTCCATATCTGCCTGTTGGATATTTAGTTCACTCACTTTCCCACCTTGCCTTTCTCCCTCATATTTTGCAACCTCTTCTTTCTCGAGTCCATGATAGCTGGGAGGCAGTTTTATGGTTACAAGGCATTGGCACTTCTATTTGTTATTGGTAGTTGATGGCATGTTCTTCTTCCATTGTAGTATCTGAATCTCTATTTAACATGAAGCATTTTTTACGGTTTGAAATTGTTTCATATCTAGCTTTTAATTACTGTTAACAGGCTCCCTACTTGTGCTGTGGCAACTCGAGGGGTCTGTGCTGGCCCGAACTAATTATCTGGAAGAGTCAGTTTGAGATCGTGAGGAACTGCTTTTCGACAAAAGTTGGTCAGATATACAACTCATGAAGAACTGGATGGTTTTATGACAACATGATGGTGGAAATACTTTCTAACCGTGACATAAAAGTTTTCTTCATTTTCAATCTTTTAGAAGTCTAAACTGAATTCTTCACAAACCAATTTATCTGCAACATGATCATAATCTCTCCTCCTCTCCCTCAATCTTGAGGAGAAGTGACTTTTCCGGCTACATATGGGAAAGTGGTGATGTCATTCATACGGAAGAGCAAATCGAAATCAAAGTTCAAGCAGAAGCTGAGCAAATTTAACCAAGCTGATAAAAGTTGGCCCTAGAATCTATTTTTTAGATCTTGATTGAAAGGGTCACACTGGGTAAGCATCAAATTGTAAAAAGAATCCGCATGGAGCGAGAAGCAAAGCATTACACTTCCGTACATCAGCATCTGGAATGTGGTTGCCTGCGAGAAAAGTGTACGAAGTGCAAATTCTTTGCTAGTTGTTCATCTTCTTTTGCACCATCGCTAGGCAAGTTTATGCCTTGAGATAGCAGTAGCCTGTATATGCTTTTTCAATCAAGATCCCACATAAAACTGATCCAACTTGTCTGTCTTCTTGTTGTTTGTTGACAGTCTTCCCATCTTCTCCGCTCCTCATTTTTTATGATTTTTTAGTTTTTTCCACCAGTAAAACGAAGTACAAAAGCAGCTATATTGTTCGAGAGTTTAGCTAATCTTGACAAGCAAAGATCAATCTTTCATTTTTGTCTTGTTGTTAGAAACTCATAGGTGGAAAACTCCCTGTTGTTTCATAGTTTAGCAAGCTGTTAGAAACAGTAACCATTAAAACCAACTTGGTATCTTCTACCATCTACACTCCCCATCCACCTGCCTTTATGTAAAACTTCGTGTAAGTCGCTACCTCTCCCAAGCTTCTCCCGCTTTCAATCTATTGTCACTTGTGACAGGTAATGCTGCATTTGATATCTACCGCATAAAGTCTCACATTGCCAGTCCACAAAACAGTAAGATAAATCCCCAATAGTCTCCCATACCCAGTAAGATTTAAGACGGCATAATGAAGAAAGTTATATATAGCCAAAAAAAGTCCCAACATGCGATTGTTTTCAAACAATTGAATACCCGCATCACCTAAACTAAATTAATTACTACATAATAAACACTGGAAGGACAGTGCAAGTTAAAATGAAAGCGGAAGGCATTCTAACTTGATGCTCCACAGCAAAACCACTAGACACAGAAATCCAAGGAGAGGCTTCAATTGTTCCAGTGCCAATACTTCATAAACTGCTACATTGGACCTGGAACGCTCTCCACTGCCAAACTTTAGCTCAAGTAGCCTGCATATTCTTCTTGCCAGCAGGGGCAGTTTGTGGCTCTTTCAGTGGTGGCAACTTAGACAAAACCCAATCTGGCGAGCTGTTAAGCCATAGCGCATCCCCTGTTTCTTTGTGCTTAAAGTCAGGGGATTTTGCATTCTTCTTACCCACTCTGTTGTCCCACCATTTGCTCGGATTTTCCACCAAACTCTTCCAAGATTCCTCATCTTTACCAACGCTCATATTCTTCTGTTTAGGGGCATAACCATCAAAATCCAGCCTTTGAAGCCCTGACCAAACAAATTCGGGAGCTTTGTTTAGCCAAAGCGCAGTACCATCATCCTTGTTCTTAAAGTCTGGGTATTTTTCCTTTACCAATCCTTTAAGCTTCTGTTCGCGGTAATCCCTCCAATGCGTTGGATTGTTCACAAGATCCCTCCAAACAGAGTCCCCATCTCTCCTGGTGTCAGCATTTCTCAAGCTGGTCTGAGAGATTTTTGGCTCAAAGTTCCCAGTCTCTACCGTCTTCCCTGAATACTTCTCACTGGCATCATTTTCACCTTCAGCAATTGCAGTTTTTGACGGGGCATTTCGAGCAGCGTCAGACGCTGAACTTTTCTTGCTTTTGAAATCAAAAGCCTTTTTCTCAAAGCCCTGCACGAAGTTGATATTTTCAACCAACAGATGAAATTTTCCTTGACTCTCACTCAGGACAAAGGGCAATGGATCCTCACTCAATCGCCCAACCACATAAACACAGTCGTTTTTCTTCACATGAGAGGCCACAACATGTGCTAAATCACCCTCAAATACCACAGGAATGTCTAAAGTTTCATTTTCTTGGGAAAAAACGGCACCAGACAGGTACTTACCATCTGGGGTGGATTGAAACTTAATCGGAGTGGTGATGTGACCAATAAGATTCACTAAATTTGCAACCTTGGCTTGGAAGGGAATTTCACTTGGCCTCGGCCAAACAGTCAATTCTTCTGACTGTTTCTTCACTCTTTGAGACCAAGTCAACGAAGAAGACGATCCTGATGGTTCTTGTGGTGGCTTCTGGGTTCTGGGTTTGTTGGTTTGCGGGTTGTTGAGCTTATAGGTCGTGGAATAATATGAAGACTGGGTGACGGGGCGGAGTAAGAAGAGGGGCTTTCTTGATGGATGAGAAGAATGAGAAAGCTGGGATGTAATTGCTCGCTTAAGGAAATTCATGGTTCACAATCAAGAAAATTGGCAGCCCGGCGAGGGGGTGGTAGAGAATCTCAGGATCACGGAGCATTCAAGAGCCAGAAATCAAATGCTCACTCATTAGGGTTTACGGAGAGACGCGGTTGCTTAAATTGCCATAACCGGGCCGTGGCAGCAGCGTTAATTTAAACTGTGCTTATTTTCCTTCTTTTCTTTAAAAAAAAAAAAAGGGTTTTGAACTGAGTTAACCTGTTCTTAATAAGTAGACGTATTCCTGTTCTTAATAAGTAAACTAAATTTCTTAACATTTGTTGATCATTAACATAATTTTGCTCTCTTTATAAATTTCTCGTTGCAGGGCATCCTCCTCAAAATCTTTTTCTTAGATTCATAAGATTTTTTATTTTTTAAGTTCCAATTAATTTGACAAACTTTAATAATCGATTGAGTGTTAGAAATCCCAAACCCCAAATCTTTGCATCAAACCGAACAAGGAAGAGAAATAATTTTTTTTAAAAAAAAAATCGCTTCGACAACAATAACAAACACAATTAATTTTATTTTATTTTTTAAATAAAGGAAGGGATAGCAATAGCACAGTTAATCCTGACATTTACCAACACATACCTAAAAACTCTAATCAGAGCAAATTGTGGAGATGAAGAATGTCAAAGTTAACAAGAAGACTTAATTTGAACTAGCTAAGGACACATCCGATATTTGTGTAGTTTATAAATAATTAAAATAAATTAATATTAATACAATTTATATAAATTCATTAAAAAAACTTTAATTTATAAGGTTATAGTAATTTAATAGTTACAATGCTTATGGTGATTATAAGTTTGTTTTTTTTTTTTTTAAAGAAAGCATAGTTATGATGGCAAATATGAGTAGGTAATTAAGATAAAAATTAATTTTATAAGAATAAAATTGAAAGTTCAAAAAATTACACCAAACTGTCATTCCTACCTATGCTATATATAAAAATAGAAGTGAGAGTTTGAGATAAACAATTTGTGTCACTTTATGAACTTCCAATTTTACCCTTATATTGTCAAGATATAATTATCCACAACCATTTTAAACCTTGCCTATCTACACGTTGACAACATAACTACTTCTCAGCATTGTAACTGCCAAAATAAAAATCATTTGACGGGAAAGGAGAGATTAAAATACAAAAGTCTGCTTTAATAATGAAAATTTTACAGGTGCACTGTAAAAACCAGAAACAGGTACACGTTACATAGAACGGCAAAAATCATAGTCCACTCCATTCGCTGCTTAATCTATTCATCCTCACCTACTGGTTTAGTTGAAATAGCCTCTCTTTGTGGCCTGTGCCTCTTCCACTTGAGCTTTGGTAAAGACATGATCCAGGGTGGAACTTCACAGCCTGATGCTGCCATCACGTTAGCTATGTTCCGCAAGTATGGAACATCAGCTTCGGTGTACAGGGTAACCGCTTCCCCACTCCTACCAGCTCTACCAGAACGACCTATTCCAGAGACAACAAACAGAGTGACAGACTCAGGCATCACCCATGATGAGACAAATAAATTGTCAACTGACGAAAATGAAAGATCAATAGTCCAACCAACCATGCATCTATTATAATCCAAGCAGCAGATACGTCAAGATCAAGTCACTCACCTATCCTGTGAATATATGCTGCTGCCGAATCAGGGAAATCATAATTAACAACACAATTGACACCTTTAAAATCCATACCACGAGCAATAACATCCGTGGCAATCAACACCCATGTTTTCCCAGCTCGGAAGTTATTAACAGCATCCTCTCTCTAAAAGCGGATCAATAAGGATAACAATTCACAGGTTAACTTGGGAATTTTGTGGTTAACAACCTATTTATACACACTGTAACAACATTATGAAAACAGTCTAAGCTAAACAACAAATCAAATAGTGTTACCTGTACTTGTGATAAATCAGCATGTATCACACCAGCTCTAATATCATCAAATTTCACTTCATTATAAAGCTCTTTGGCCCGCTCTTTATTCTGGACAAATACCAGTACCGGTGGATTTAAACTCTGATCATGAGTAATAATCGACATGTTAGAACATCTCAGAAACCAAAAATAAAACAAGGACTTTGCGTTAGTTGCTCAATAAATTTCTTGTAATCTAGCAGCAAAAGCAACCTAGCCACCAAACTTCGAGCTTCCATCATCAACAAATTCAATATCATAATAGGTTGATCTAAATCAGGCAGTCAGTCACTTGACAAACACTGGAAGAAGTAAAAAAAACCATTGAGCCCAATCCATGGAGGAGCTTGATTACTTTTGTCATTTCTTTGGATTTATTCAAGGACAAAAAGCCACTAAAAAGTGGCATACTTTGCCATTGCAATCAGCTCAAACTGTTTACATGCAATTACATTATCCATCCAATTAGGTGCATTATTTGGTTGAACGATTTATTCCTCTGCTAGTGTGCCTTCTCTTTTCCTTTTATTTTATTTTAAGTTATTTACTTTATTTTTGCATTAAAAAGAACTTGCAGAATTTTCATTTGTTCTTAGTACATAGAGATTATGACATCACTGGCTAACATATTTACTCGAATTAGAAGTTTCATGAGAGACTTAAAACACTTCAAAGCATGTGAGGAGCTTACCTCTGCAA